TCTGCTATTTCTTTATCACCAAATGTAATCACAGGGTTCATTGGTCAAAAAGAAATGTTCAAAAGAAAAAATGAATTACAGAATGAAGGAGATACTTTAATATCTTTGAAATGTAAACCCATACTAGTTGTTAAACTATTCATTATATCAGTATAAATGTGTTCCACCAATACATTAGTTTTATTAAAATTTTCTAAAGGAATGTTTTGGTAAATAAAATTGCCATCTTTTTTGACTATACTTTCAATTAATTTTTTGTAATTTGTTAAAATAGTTTGCTCTGTTTAAATATTGCCAAACGAACTATTCAAGAGAACTTTAAGTTTTTCCATTGTCAAATTAAATTGCAGCACCATGCAGACAGCTTTTACTGGATCCTGTAAATCTTACTGGAAGCCAACACTCAAATATATTACAAGAAATGAATTTTTCCAAACTTTTAAAAAACCCTTTAATTCGGTTTTTTTTGAAGGCTGAGAAACTGTTTTTCCAGCCAACAAGTGCCGTGTGATTTTGCTTGTTCAGGAAAAAAAGTTTCTGATAAAAGTTTCAATTCTTGTAAATGCTTTTGGCGATTGTTATTATTGTTCATAAAGACTGTAATGTAACTTTAGTAAGAAGTTTTCAGAATTTACAAATGCAGTAAATTTTTCAAAAACATTTTTTAATGTAAGCTTAAGACGATTGTTAAAACAATGTATTACTTGAAGCCATGGAGATTTTTTTTTTTAGTAATGCTTCTAAACCAGAATGAACACCAAGATTTACGCTAGCTCCGTCTACGTTTAAGAGTTTTTACCCTAAGACTTTTTTAGTCATATCATTTATTCCAACTCTTTGTAAACAACAGGCATTACCATTGTCAGGGCTTTCAACCTACAAATTTTTAACACATGGACTGCCCTCAAACATACTACACTCACACTAATTTTTTTATTTATTTTTTTTTTTTAATTATTCACCTCCCCAAGGCCCAAGGGGGCTACTACAGTCAAAGAGGCTACTCTTTTTTTTTTTTTTTTTTTTTTTTTTTTCTGTTTGAGTGTAGCAATATCAAATATGCCATCACTTAAAATTGAATAATGTTTCAACTATATAAAATCATCTCTGAAAAAATCTCTGAAAGAATTTATAAAAATAATTATCTGAAGACGTTGGAATGTTTTAATTGAAGAAATTTCTTAAAAGCAAAGCCATTACTATGTTGCTCTACGGCCCCCTTTATCCGGTGGGGGGAAGGCAGCAAAATTAGGGACCTTTTTAAAATTTTAAAGGGCCCTTTACTAAATTTGAGGATCTTTTTTTTTAGTAATACCTAATAATCGAAGGTTTTTAAAATTTTGGGGCCGTAATGACAGGTTTGTTCTGCCTCCTATGCTACGGCACTGGTTAAAAGAAGAGGGATGTTTTGAAGGAAGAATTTCTTTATATTTCTATGATTAAAAAATTTTAAGATAAATTTTTTTTTTTTCAAAACATTACTGTATTTTATAAATTATAAAATCAACCAATGAAAATAATAATAGAGTTTAAGTTACCATACCGCTAGTATCAATGCTTTCATATATTTGTAAACACTTTAGAAGTTCGTAGTGTGATGAAGCTGGTGGTTTGATGTAGTTTTGATCATCAAAGTTACATACATAATTATCAACTATATCAAAGTTTGATGTAGTCGATATTAGGGATGGCAAAAATACCGGAAATTTTCAATCTCGGGATTGAGAAATTTTCCCTGGGAAATCCCGGGATTGAATAGAAAAAACGCAAACGCAATTGAATACTTTGTAAGCACTCATCAAAAACTTAAAGATGATTAATTTAATGATAAAATAACTAAAATATTTAATACATTAATGAACCTCTAAAATTAAGTTGAATCCTGTTTTAACTTAATTTTGTATTAAAACTTATTAATTTTAAAAATTTTTTTAAATTTTAAAACTTTTAAAAATTAATAAACCTAAGTATTATAAATTATAAAACATTACCTTAAAATGGTAACACAGTATAAATAAAAATAAAAAAATAAAATAAATATGCATGACATTAAATAAAACTTTTGTAAATCACGCATTTTCATAAATCACACATTTGAAAGTTAAAATGAATGGATATAAAATTGTAATTAAAATTGCGCATACTTTTGGAAGCAAAAAATTCAAAATTAAATTAATTTATACCTTTTATTAAAAACTGTTGCTCTTTTTACCAGCAAGTGCTTAAATTTTATTTATTTTTATAATATACTAGTTTTAATATTATAAAGGCCGTCCCAAGGGAGTGTAGGGGGTGTCTAGCCCTCCCTACAAATTTTATTAATGGGCAAAATGGACATTGTAGTCGGCAAAATTAGATTTATAGTTGGCAGTCAGCAAATGTCGGAAAACAAGGATCTTTTTTTATTATTATTATAGATAAGTTACTGGGCAAACAAAAAATTTTTGGCTTTAGTCGGTAAAAAACAGACAAGTCACCCCTCTTTAAAAATCTCTTCGGGACAAACAGCTACTATACCAAAGACGATATAAAAATTAATAAACTACAATTATAAGCTTAAATTTTAATAACTTTTCCTTTTTTTTAAGGATCCCCAAATCCTGGGAAATTTCGGAGACTAATCCCGGGATTTCGGGATAAACAATTTGTACGAAATCCCGGGATTTCAGGATCAGGGATTGCCATCCCTAGTCGATATTTAATGTACTTTATTTAAGTTATTTGTATTTCCTTAAATTTTTGTCATATAATATTAAGTATTTGAATCCTGTATTTGGTTTTTCTTTTTCCTGTATTTGTATTTATGTAAATATTATATTTTTGCTATGTAAATACAAATACATAATATAGTGGTTAATCTAGCTAGATTAACGGCTGTTTCATCCATAAAAACTGAGTTCATTAAGAAAATAAAAATTTAAAGACCAGAATTTTTTACAGATTTTTCAATTCGCGATCACCCTTGAAACTCACCAAAATTTTGATGTATCAATGATTAGCTTGCTGATGAGTTTGAGAACTTTAAACACCATAAAAAGAAAAAATACTTTAATATTTGCAAAACAAAACATTGAAATCAGCAATGAAAAAATTATGGTCATAAATCATTGCAGAAAATTGTTATTATTTTTTGATAATGAAACATGGAAAAAAAAAGTGGACAACAATTGTTTTGACGCCACAATGAGATGTTTTGACGGAGCCAAAGTGTGTGAACAGGTGGGTTTATATATTCTAGGCTCTTTATCCAAAACCATTACTAAAAATGATATAGGTCTTTACCGAGAAGATGGATTGATGCATTAACTACTGCACAGTTAGACAAAGTTAGAAAAAGTATAATTGAGACAATTAAAAATATCGGATTCCTAATAGAGATTCAAACCAGTCTAAACAGTGTTAACTTTCTTGACGCAACTTTTAATCTTCAAAAAAACTCCTACCAATCTTTTAAAAAACAAAATGACCAACTACTCAAATTCACACTAAATCAAACCATCCACCTCAGAAAAAGGCATATAATTTGGTTTAACCCACCCTACAATAAAAGCGTCTCCAATGTTGGGCAAAACTTTTTGCAATTAATAGATAAGCATTTTCAACTTCAAACCCATTCCATAAACTATTCAATCGAAACATCACAAAAGTTAGCTACAGCTGCTCAAACAACATTTCAAAAATCATAAAAAGTCCCAACAAAAAAATAAATTCAAAATATGCAACTGAATTTCCCTTGTAATTGCAAACAAAAAGATATCTGCCCGCTGAATAAATATTGTAGAGCGACAAACATATTTACAAATGTATAACGCAAACACACCTAACAAAGCATACATTGGTTTATCAGAGGGCATGTGGAAAAAGAGGTATGCAAACCACAAGCAATCATTTAAAAATAAAAAACTTTCAAATAGAACCACTATCTCAAAATATATATGGGAAACTAGGGAAAAACTGAAAGATATACCAAAATTAACTTGGTCCATCCTAAAAAGAGCCCCTGCTTACAACAACACAACAAAAAAATGTTTAATTTGTTTATATGAAAAACTAATAATTTTACTTTATAAAAATGCTGAAGAGTTACTTATTAAAAAAGCAGAGTTACTTTCCAAATGTTGTCACAAATATAAATTTCTATTAAGCAACCACAAACCTGAAGATTAGATACACGCAGTTGTAACAATGATTTTTTCTGTATAGGTTTTTTCTGTATAATTTTACGTAACTAGTTCTAATTGTATATAATTTTGTAATGAAAAAAATATATTTGTATTTCACTGATGATTGCAATTCCATGAAACTTAAAGTTGTGAAAAACACCTAGTTTTATTTGCTACTATATATATATATATATATATATATATATATATATATATATATATATATATATATATATATATATATATATATATATATATATATATATATATATATATATATATATATATATATATATATATATATGTATATATATATATATATATATATATATATATATTTTGTGCGTGTGTGTTTGTGTGTGTGTGTGTTTGTTTGAAGAGATAAAGTAAAAAATAACTACATAATGTTTACTACTAAAAGTTTCATGTGTTAGCAATCATCAGGTAAAAAATACATTGTTGTTTAGTTTAAAATATATTTTTTTCTTGTTATACTGAAAAAATGTGCTGAATCAATTACAAAGCCCTTTATTGTTTGCAAGGGTGCTTAAATCCTTCGGTTTCCAAATTTTTGGGTTTGGTTGTTAAGCAAAAACTTCTTTTCATGACAACACTTAGATATTATTTCAGATTTTTTGTTTAGCAACTACTTTGCCTCCACGAAAACTTTTTAATTATTTCATACAAAAGTACCCTAGAATTGCTAAACAAAAAATCTGAAAAAATATTTAAATAATAAAATTATAAACAACTATAAAAAAGTGTTTTTAGAAAGAAAAAAATTAACAAAATATCAGTTAAAATTATTAGTTATAGTAATTTTTTAATTCAATATAGCTGTACATTGCAGAAGTATCTTCTGCTCGACTTCGTGGTGGTTTAGGTGCTATAAATCAGTTTGGTATTACGATTGGTATATTTTTATCATACCTTGTTGGATCCTCAATATCGTGGGATTGGACAGCTATCTTTGCGATTGCAGTTGTAGCAGTTATGGTTATCTTAATGATATTCATGCCTGAGACTCCAAGATGGCTCATCACACACAATCAAAGGCAAAAAGCTCTCCAAAACCTAATTTGGTTGCGAGGTTCACTTTATGATGTAGAAAAAGAATGTAATGAAATGGAAACTAATTTAGGTATTACTTTGTTTAATAACGATATTTTCCTTGTTTATTTCATCACAAAACAAGTTGGAATTTTTTCTATTTAGGTAAGCAAGAGAATTCATCATTAAAAGATATTCGTAGAATGGGTTTGTTTCGACTCTTGTTGGTCGGTGGTTTTTTAATGTTTTTTCAGCAGTTTTGTGGTATAAATGCTGTTCTATTTTTTAACGCAAAAATATTTTCAAGTGCTGGTTTTAATGATTCCAAGGTAGTTTCATTATCAGTTGGTGCTACTCTGGTTTTAGCAACAGCAGTATCTTGTTTAATTGTTGATAAGTCAGGACGAAAAGTTTTATTAATGGTTGGTAGTATTGTCATGTTTTTATGTAATTTTTTTCTAGCTATTTATTATGATATTGCAAAAATTCCTTTAAATGTCGGTCAAAAGACCATTTCAATATTTGGTAGAAACATTTCACACTCTGTTCCTCTTAATCAAATTTCATGGTTAGGTGTTCTTTGTGTTATTGTTTACATTGCCATTTTTTCACTTGGCTGGGGACCTTTACCGTGGTTATTAATGTCAGAAATTTTCCCACCTCGTATTCGTGGTTTCGCAAGTGCGGTTGTAACATTTATAAATTGGAGTTTAGTATTTTTAGTGACCAAATCATTTCAATACATGATTAAATCTTTCTATGAACAGGGCACTTTTTTTTTTTACTCTCTTTTTTGTTTGCTAAGCTTTTTCTTTGTCTTTTTCTTTGTCCCGGAAACAAAAGGAAAAACTCTTGAAGAAATACAGCAGTGTTTGAAAAAGTGAAATATGTTTTACATAAAAATATTTTACTGTATTTAAACCTTTATTTAATGGAGGATCAGATTAACTTGTGGTTTTTTTTGTTCAAAAATATTTTAATAATAATGCATCCAGCAAAATTAAAATAAATTTGTTGGAGAAAGAACTTCAACTTTTAATAGAAAATTTTGAAAATTAATTAATGATTATGATAAAAATTACAAAACAATGGAAAAGCGTTTCTATATTTTATTTAGCCTTTCTGTATTTATTTAGAGTTTCTTGTAGCTAGTATATAGTATAAATTTAAGAATTTTTTATTTGTAAATACATTTTTAAATTCCTTTAAAGTTTTTTTCACATATATTTAATTGTATTGTTTAATGTAAACTAATTTTTTTAAATATTGTAAAACAGTGGAAAATAAAAAACCGTGTTTAAGCGTTTCTTGTAGTTAGCTTTTTGTTGCAACAACAATGTAAATATGTTCATGTAATGTTTACAAAAATTTTATTTGTAGAAGCATTTTTAAATTTAGTTTTTCATATTTTAATTGTAAATTAATTTATTTAAATATATTTATTAAAAATTTCTAATACACTTTTTATACTATGTCAGTTCCATTCCTATATATACACTTTTTTCAAATCAAAACAGGTCAGATGCAATTTCAAATAACACCATACATGTTTTTAAATATGGATTTAAGTTAAAAACCGCTATAGCTTTCAGTTTTAGAAAAACTTATATTAATTTTAATACATGCATAAAACGAGTTGGCTCTAAACATATAGTCGTACCTTTTGAGTTTTAATAAAGATTTTGATGAAATTAAAAATCCAATTGTAAAGCTTTTTTTTTGTTCTTAAGAAAACTATACTTGTAAAAAAGATTTTTAAAAAATGGTTAAGATCTAAAATAGCTGCAAGCCAATAAGAAATCCAAGGTGTAGAATGAAGCTTGACTTAAAACCGACAAAAAATAATAAGAGCTTCTATGTCTGCCTAAATCCGTAAGATTATAAGGGAGGCACAATTTTCTACAGATAGATAAAGCATCAGCCTAAAAACTGTAACAAATAAAATCGTGAAAGTAATCCCAATCAGTTTCAAGTTAGTAGTAAAAAATACGACATGAGTCTAAAGAAAAAACATGATAAAACTTTTAGAGAAATCCTAGCATAATCAAAACCCATTAATATGTATATATATATATAGATATATAGATATATATATATATATATATATATATATATATATATATATATATATATATATATATATATATATATATATATATATATATATGTAAATATATCTTATACTGCTGATTTAGGTGAGTATGATGATGTCATATTCACCTAATGTCAAATAGCCTGCTGCCGGGGGCTTCAGTACATACATCAACTGACAAATAGCCTGACTTGCCGTGGAGTGCTGCTACATCGACTGAGGGTTTGGTATGGGTCTGCAACATTTTCATTCATCATTTTTCATTTTCCCTCATCGTTTTCTAAAAACGCTCACTTGAATTAGGCTAGCAAAAAAAGTGAGCACTTGCGCAAATAAATATGCTATAGTAGATATGTATATATATATATATATACATATATATATATCCCCCCCCCCCCCTTATATATATCCATCCCCCCCTCCTTCCCCCCGCAATTTGCTGTACGCTTTTTTGAGTACTCTCTACCTCCCTAAAAGTACCTACGTTTTAACCTACTAACCCAACATTTTATGATATTTTTTTAAATTTAGTGTCTTCATACTTTTATAATTGACCTACTGTCCCCTTATCTCAGAAACGCCATTTGCAGACCTCCTCTTCCTCTCCGAGCGTACGTTTTTTATGGACGATCCCTTACGGTTGATTTAGTAATAAAAATCGTTTTAAATAATTAAAAAAGCGCCATTGACATTTTTTGACTGATTTTACATTTTATTTTAAATTGTACTTTACATTATATTTTACATTGTATTTTGTATCATCTTTTACATTATCTTTTAAATTATATTTTATGTAATATTTTACTTTATACTAAATCAAATTTTATACGTTGTAGCTGGGTATTCAGCGGGCATTGTAGAAGTTTGGCAGCAGGTTACATAGCGGGCTATGTAAGGGGCAGGTAGCCCGCGGGGATTTTAGTAGTTGTGTAGCAGGCAATGTAACTTGCGCTTTAGCGTGTGGTTAACCCGCAGACTTTGTTATAACTATGATCAGGCTATGAGTTAGTTATATAACGGACTATGTATATCGACTTATGTCCAAGAAACAATTAAAAAAAAAATCAAAATGTATATATATATATATATATATATATATATATATATATATATATATATATATATATATATATATATATATATGTATATATATAACTTGAAATATGTTTATAACCAATAACTAAAAAAATTAGTCAACAAAATAAACAATAAACGAAATGTTTTCTTCTTTTAATTATACAAAAATTACTCTAATTATAAATTTTAGTACTAGAGGCCTTTCAAAACTTATGATTTTTTGAGGAAAAGCAAAAACTCTACGCAAGTTAGGATCAGAAAAAAATCACCAATCAAGAAGTAAAGGTTATCTGAAAACACTACAATCAAGAAGTAAAGGTTATCTGAAAACACTACAATCAAGAAGAAAAGGTTATCTGAAAACACTACAATCAAGAAGTAAAGGTTATCTGAAAAATGAGTTACAAAATGATAATCTGAGTAAGAGACTGAGAAATACAAAAAGTTATGACCTTTAGTCATTGCAGGGTCAGTGTTACTACTAGAACCAACCCATTCAGTTCGATGAGTATTTAAGTCACCAATAACCAAAATATTAGCTGAGGAATAAAGGTAAAGGGCTCGGTCATAATGATCAGAAATAACATAAAAAAAATGCATCTTTAGAACAAGAAGAAGCCTCACAGTGCGCATCAAAAGCACTTACAAAGACACTATTATTGAATTAACTAAGACTGTTAAGACTAGGCATAACCTAAAAAACTCTAAGCTGTTAAGACTAGGCCATAACCTAAGACCCCCAAAACTTGAATGTTTCCACATTTAAAAATCTAATTTTTGATTTGATTATATTTAGACTAGGGATGGCAAAAATCTCAATCCCGGAATTTCGGGATTGATAAATTTGTCCCCAAGAAATCCCGGGATTGAATAGAAAAAAACGTTACTAAAAACGAATACTTTTTAAGTACTCATCAAACAATTAAAAATGATTAGTTTAGTGATAATATAACTAAAATATTTAATACATTAATGAACCTAAAATTAAGTTACAAACATGTTTTAACTTAATTTTGTTATATTAAATCTTATTTAAGACTTTTAAAAAGTAATGAACCTAAGTACTTTAAATCATAAAAATACCTTAAAATCGTACCTTAAAATCGTAACACAGTATAAGTAAAAATATTAATTAGAAAAATATATAAATATCCATGACTTCTTTAATTAATTAAACGGACGCTAAAAAAATTTTGTAATTTAATAAACCTGTTTTTTGTTAACTAATTAAACTGACTTAAAAAAAAACTTTTGTTAATCACGCACATATTTGAAATTAAAATTAATGGAAATAAAAATGGAAATAAAAAATAAAATAACTTTAATAGCAGTCATTTTTACAATCAATTTCTTCAAAATTATTTATTTGAAAAATTATTAGGAAGGCAAGTGCCCCTGCTGACTACCCGGTTGCAACGGGGCTGAGGTATACCTTCTATTAAAGTTTTTTTCTATTGAAGTTAGTTTAATAGAAAAAAAACTTTAATAGAAGATATACCTTCTAATAAAAATCTTTTATTAAAAACACATGCTCTTTCCACCAGCAAGCACTAAAATTTTATTTTTTATAATATAGTATATTAAATATACTAGTTTTAATATTATACTACATATATATGTAGACATATATGTAGTATTATACTACATATATATATATATATATATATATATATATATATATATATATATATATATATATATATATATATATATATATATATATATATATATATATATATATATATATGTATATATATATATATGTATATATATATATAAAAAGAGAGAGAGAGAGAGAGAGAGAGAGAGAGAATGAGAAAGAGAGTATAACATTATATTTTATATGTTAAATCGTACATATTTTGTAGACAAGCAATAATGTTTTAAGTTTTTATTTTTAATAAAATACAGAAAAAGAGAGTTTTAAAAGGAAAATATTTCAAAGAGAATAAACAGTTACACAACCAAACAAACTACTATACCAAAGACGATATACAAATTACTTAATTACAATTATAAACTTAAAATATATTAACTTTTACTTTTTTTTGACGATTCCTAAAATCACGGGAAATTTCGGAGACTAATCCCGGGATTTCGGGATAAACAATTTGTAAGTTTATAATTGTAATTAAGTAATTTGTACATCGTCTTTGGTATAGTAGTTTGTTTAGTTGTGTAACTGTTTATTCTCTTTGAAATATTTTCCTTTTAAAACTCTCTTTTTCTGTATTTTATCGCGGGATTTCGGGATCGCGGGATCCCGGGATTGCGGGATCCCGGGATTGCCTTCCCTAATTTAGACTAGTTTTCTTGTGAATTATTCAGCAAATCAAATAAATTTGATAATTATACACGGTTATTGTTATTAAACATTCTTGAAAAATTTCTGTACAATTTTTAATTTATATATATTTTTTAAAATTTAAACAAATAAAATACGTTTTAATGTAGAAAATTAAAAGGTTTTCCTTAATCTAGCGTTGAGGAACATCATCCATGCGTAACTTGTTAATACTCTGATGATTTACAGCTGTTGATAAAATCTCTCCGCCAATCAAATCTCTCCGCCAGAGGATTCGGGAAATCTTATTACAAGCTGGCCTTAAAAGCATTAAACTAAGTTTTAGAGTTGTACCCTTATTATAACAGAAAGAGTTGCTTTTGTGTCATAAACAATGTTTGACATTAAGGTATTTGATTTTCAATTAAAGAGTCAGAAGGATAGGTTGAGAAGATAGGTTTGAGAAGAAGTCAGAAGGGATAGGTTGAGAGGATAGGTTTGAGAAGAAGTCAGAAGGGATAGGTTGAGAGGATAGGTTTGAGAGGAAGTCAGAAGGGATAGGTTTAGAGGTTTTTTTCCCTTAATCTCAAAAATCACATCATCAAAATTATTTTAGACCACCTTTAGATCTTATACTGTTATTTTCATTGTGAAGCTTTTTGCTTGTTTTTGGACTTTTTATCGTATGCATATTTGTTTGTTTTGACAAAAGAAATGACTCCAATTTCGTAATGCTCGAAATTAGATCTAACTTGCACACATTAAGCTGTTAGAAGTTGTACAGTTTTCAATCATATCTAAATCAATCTTGACGAACTGCAATTTCTTATTAACTTTAATCAACTACTCCATAATGCTGCTCCAAATGATGTTAGAATAGATGTTTTAAGTTGATTCCTTTTGGTCAAATGGTCGATAGCCTCTGCTTTTAAATTTGCTTTCTAAGTATGATCATCGTTAAGCTCAACAAGAGTGGTCTAAATTGAAAATAGTTATTATCAAGTATACACAATCAAAAGAGACTCTTGGAGCTTTGGAGGAGGATGTTACTTTTAAGCATCCCATCGTTAAGTTGGTGCAGAAAGAAGTTATGGATTTTTTGAAGAAAGCTAAAGAAATCGACAGCTATTACATTGGATTTCGCAGATGATCATATTAAATTCCACAACTTTGGAGGTAATCAGGTTGATGAATTCTTCACAATTGTTTTAAATAGGTACGAGATGCTTTCCTTTCATTTGCTACCATGATTGATGAAATGCTGGGTAAGAAAATGATAAAACATTGCTAATAATATCGATCCGGGAAAGTTGCGAAATGATAATCATCTTAGAAAAAATAAAAAATAAAATATATAATTATTTTCAATTTCAAAAACTGATTTAACACTACTACATAACAACAGTTTAGTTAAAAAGTTAATAACTAATAATCTAAATTAATAACTTCAATTGTTGTGGAATTTGGGTCTAATACTCTTTATCGGTCTCGTATTGCTTAATAAAGTCTAAACTTTTCTTGATTGCTTCAATTTGAGTTAAGAATGGGGCAATTAATTTTTAATTGATTGGCACTTTGATTTTTATTACGGTTTAATTACATTTTAACTTCATAAATATGGTTTAATTATTTTTAATTCTAATTTAGTTTCCTTTTATTTTCTTTCTTCAACAATCTTCTTTTTTTGATTTCTTCTTTTTGTTTGACTAGTTGTTATTTCTTTTACTCTTTTGTTACTTATTTGAAGGTTTTGTAAACTGTCAACTGTAACCATAAGACATAAATTTTTCTCTAGCTAAACTTTTTTTTTCCTTTATTTTTTGTTTATATGAGATTTTTTCTTTAAATAATATATATTTTTTAAACTCACTCGGATGTAGTGGTTCCTTCAATTTCGTTGCTTCTCGGCACGTGACCGGTGTAATTGTGCATAAAACCATGCCATCAGATTATTTAATCTTTTCAGGGTTTTGTTATATTTGAATACTACTTGGTTAATGGATACGTCATCAAACGAGGAAATCAGTTTTGATTTTTTCAAGTTTATCCCTGCAACAATGATCAGCTATTTGTCAAACATTACAGCTAATATTTAGTATTATTACATGTACACCGAATGAGGCATGTAGAAACTACATGCCCCAGTCCGTTTATAAATTACTGATCTATTGCTATTCAGTAAAAAGAGCTCTAAAGCTATCAATTAGAAACACGTGAGTCTAGGAACAACAACTTCGGGTCCTTTATAATGAATTTGACAAAAAAATGTTCAATAAAAGCAAAAGATTGGCCTTGTTGATTAAGCTCTTCTACTCCTCGGGTTCAAGCATCAGCTCACTGAGAAGAAGTATTAATAGCAAGTGGAAAATAAGGCTCCTAAAGGATGCAAAGTTTTAGTTAGCTGCATGACTTAGGTTGTGCAAAAGTTTTTATATAGATTTGAAAGTAATACGCTTTTACATTACAAAAATTGATTTATATTATTGTTTTACATTATAAAAACTGATGTTAATAAATTAAACGGTTGTTTTTAATTTTTCCAAAATGAACTTTATATTACAAAAAAGTACTTAATGGTGCATAGGATATATATATATATATATATATATATATATATATATATATATATATATATATATATATATATATATATATATATATATATATATATATATATATATATATATATATATATATATATATATATATATATATATATATATATATATATATATATATATATATATATATATATATATATATATATATATATATATATATATATATATATATATATATATATATGTTCTGGCCCATGTTCTGGCCCACTGTCTCGGCTGAATAAATATTAAGTATTTGCGCGTGCGGAAGAAAGTTCCTACTGTCCTTAGTTTTGAGGTTATAAATAGTAAAGGTGCAAATGATGTATCTTCCAAAAGAGTGAGATAATGCAAAGATAAGACCAATATTCTAAAAAGAATCTCTTAGTAAGATTTTTTATGATTTTATTAAATACATAGCTATGGAAGCTGTTGTTGATTTTTTATTTTTGTTTTGGAAGAATATAAATAGTCGATATTTGAATGTATTTGAATCTTATTAAAAACTCTTGAAATTTAAATTATTGATATCCAGTGATTGTATCAAACTTTCCTGTCTATAGTCAATCTATTAAATACGTTGTGAAAAATGTCACGAGGGCTTATTTATTTCACACTGTGAATAAATTAGAGAAGTGAGAAGATTGAACATCGCTGAACATATTAGTGAACAACTATATGATTGGATAGCAACACATGGGGTTGAAAACAAATTTTTTGAGATTTGAACATACTGAACCTACCTTAATACAAGTTTTATTTTTTTAAATTGTAATACTTTTATTATTTATACTCTGTTAAAGGTATTGCTGAATTACTATGGTTGGATAAAAACACATAGGATTAAAAATAAGTTAGTTGAGATTAGAGAAGACTCTTTCTTATCAAAAGTTTTTTTTTTTAATTTCTTGAAATTATAATTTACTGAAAATAAAAAACAATAGGTTGGAAGGGCAGAGACTCGGACCTTCCACCCTATTGTTTTTTATTTTCAGTAAATTATAATTTCCATCGATAATTTTTCCATCGAAAGTTAGCATTAAATATCAAAGTGGCAACTTGTTGGTATTTAAAGCCCAAACAATCCAGATTATTTTGAACTTTCATGAGAAAGTTATTCTTTTAATAAAGAATTACTCTGCCAGAGTAATTCAATATTAAGAGAATGAAAGTTCAAAATAATCAGGATTGTTTGTGCTTTACATACAAACAAGTTGCCATTTTGATATTTAGTGCTAAATTTCGATGGAAAAAATTATCTAACTATAGACTTACAAAAAACATTGAAAAAACTAACTGCAAAGCAACATTCCTTTCTATTACCAAACCCTTGGAACGATATTGTTGTAGAGCCAGTTAATCTTGAGAAGGAAGTTGTAGACTCATTGCCTACAGAATAGCAGAATTTGTACAAAATATGTAATGCAGTAGCATCAAATATTTTCCCTTATGGCTTAAAGGAGACTTGTGCATAGAATAAAAATCCAAAATTGCCCCAAGCATAGATTAAAAAACAAATCAACACAACTTGAAATGTATACATTTCAAGTTGTCCTGATTACATCGCACTAGCCATACAGTATTTGTACATGGTCATGGCATTTTGCATGTTTTGATAATTTGCATGTTTGCATCATTGCAAACCATAAACTGAAAAGAGAAATTAAATCATAACAAATAATAAAATAATTAAAAAATTGACCAATAAAAATGAAAACATAAAGTTAATATATTTTTTAATTTAATTATTAGTCTCAATAGTTCAAACCTAATATTTAATTTTAAAGCGTCTTGATCAATAGTTAATAATTTTTTCTATAATACTACATTAATGTAGCGCTTAATTTGATTATTAAGTTATATTTAAAATTATACTTATTTTTTCTGTCTTTGGTTTTTTTATTTTTAATTTTAGTTTAAGTTTCCATTTGTTTATTGAGCGCATATTTTAAATGCGCTAATTTTCAAAACTTGCAAAAAGCCATGACTTCATAGTCTTCATAAAAAAAATAGTATATGCATGGATATATAGCGCAAGTGACCACATACCTCTCCTGAGAAAACTTGGTATATATATGTTTAAATGCGTGTTTAGATAACATGTCTGACATCACACTAAAATAGCCTGCTGTCAGGGGCTTTAGTGCATACATCAACTATCTTATGGCCTCTAAGGAGTGCTACTACATCAACTTCATTATTCTTTGCTTTTTTTTTCTTTTTCTGTAAATGCTGTATGGTATAAAGATAAAAAGCAAAACTAGTAAGTAATTGTTGATCTATAAATGTTATAATATGTTTGTGTGTATATATATATGTTTATATATATGTTTATATATATATGTTTATATATATATATATATATATACATATATATATATATATATATATATATATATATATATATATATATATATATATATATATATATAGATAGATAGATAGATAAATAGGTTATAGAAGAATATTTGATCTTTGGGCTAGAATGGTATGGTTTTTTTTTCTACCCTAAAAAAGTATAACTTACATTTTAAATCGGCTAAACTTTGGTTAAGATGTTTCGGCGTTACTTATACAACTTTCATAAAAATTAAATTCAAACATTTTTGCTAAGTTTCATTGTAAGTTTTAAAAATAAATATACTCAAGGTCAGATTAAAGTTACTTATTTCATATGTTTGTCAGGGATTATCTTTTTCTGTATATTTCCAGAATTCCAGATTTTTTTTTTTTTAAATATTGTTTTTTCTGGATATCCAAACAGTTTTCTTGAAAGGCAAGTTAGGCAAGTTTTTTTGTAACTTTTTCATCCAACAATTAAAACAGTATCATTATCAGTATCAATTGTTCATCAATTACTCGACACTATATTTAGTTGAATTAGACATTATTTCTATGTACAGCTATTTTTTTCTTATTTGTATGCATATTTATTATTTATTATTTTGACTAATTAACCTAAATATCTAGTGTAAATTATTTTAATAATTTTTTGGTATAAGTTAATTTAATTTATAAACTATATTTAACCCTTTGTTTACCAGAAGTTGTAAGTAACACCTAAAAGAAATCATAATTTTCTTTCCAAAATAGATGAGTAGCATAGGGCAATCAATAAAAAATCTCATCAATAACAACAATTAGGTTTGTATTTGTTTGATTAAGTGACACGAAAATTGCTTTTCTTTTTTTTTCTTTTTCTTTTTTAAACATCTCCACTTCCAACAAGGCTGCAAGTAACCACTATTAAAGTTAGAAGTTACTGAAAGAGAAAAGATGAAGTTTATAGAGCAAGATAAGGATTAACAGACGATTTAAAATATAGCAAATTATATGAATCAGAAAAAAAATCTGAAAGAAGCCAATTACAAAAAACTAAAGCAGGGCTCGAATTAAGCGTATCGCGATTGCTTTTCACACCTTCGCAATTAGTTTTTTTTTTTTAAAAAAAAATATTTTTGCAATTTTATTTGGTTGTTTATTTACTTTTTTTTTTTTGCCAGTTCTTAAAAGTAACATTTTTGCTTTTAAGTACGTCACGCTAAATTTATTTTTCAAATAGAATGGTCATTTGCTCTTTCACGCGGAGATTTTCATTCAATGTAAAGCACTCTTGAATTTAAATTACTTTAAATTTCTGCGTGGAAGCCAATAATATTTTAAAAGGTTGTTAAAGCGAAATGTTGAAATGGAAAAAGATGTTAAAAAGAATTTTTTTTTTTTTTTGTAACAAAACTGGTTTTTATGTTTATTTTTTTAAACATTGCACCAAATTCACTTATTTTAAATAATTTAAGTTATTATTTTATCAACAATTTTATATAATTAATTTTACTACTTTTAAGTATTTTAAAATATATATTATTTTGTTTTTATTACAATTTTTTTCTTTTAGTTAAACAATGCTAATAGAAACCAGTAACTTTTTTGCTTTAACGTTTTTTGCTTTAAAACCTGAAACTTTTAAAGTTTCATTTTCTTTGATTTACTGAATGGATAAAGTACATCACAGTAAACTTACTTATAAACTAAATCACAACAACCTACAACTGTAACTTAGATTTACTTAAATATTACCTTATGAATTATTTTAATTTACTTGATATACTCAAAGACTTGATATACTCAAAAGTTAGTCATACAAATATTTCTATTATATCTTATATGTTGTTAATATAATATAAGTTGTTAATATAACATAATATAAGCTAATGACTATAAATATTTTAACAAAAATTGCAGAATGGAATATGAAAAACACAACACCCTTTTATTTAAATTTTATTTAAAGCGATATCAAGATTAAACATTTTTTATAAATACGCAAGTTGTTTTTAGGAATTTTATTTAAAAAAAAATCTATTTGAACAAAAAAATTTTATTATTTAAAAATTCTCTTATTCAAATTATTTTACAATTGAAATTTGCACTAAAAAAAAAGTTAGAAAATTTTAAAAGAATTTGAAGAAACACGGGAGAATGAGTTGAAAGTTTTTTTTCCTAAATCCTAAATTTCGTGAACATTTTATAGTTAATTATATCTAGAATAGTTAATTATATTTTGTTTCTTGAAAATATTTTTAAAAGTTGAAACATACTATTGCAAACATTAAACCAGTTATTGTAAAAATTAAAATTAAATTATAAAAAAATTAGTAAATAATAACTATAATAAGAAATAATAATTTATAAAAAAATGCGGTATCTAATGTTTTTTTGCTTTGATCTTACTTATTTGGTCTATAGATTATAGACTCATATGGTTATATAGGCATGTTTTAACTTATTTATTAGAACAATTTTATTTATTTCCTTTGTTTTAATTTAAATGGGTTTTATGTTATTAAGGTTATAATCTGCACAAAACAGTGTCATGAAGTTGCTTTACATAAACACAACTTAGCAGTTTGTTTTGTCATTATTTTATAGCTTTTTACAATAAAAATTAAATACTCTTTAAAAATATTGCGTGTTTTATTGTTAAATAGTTTTTATGACTAATTAAAGTGGTTAAAATATTGTAGTATTTGCGTTTTTACTCTTACATTTTTACTTTTACTTTTTTAAGTATCATGTTAAAAACAATTACAAAAAAAAAATCTTAATAGTATTAAATACGTCACTTGCTCTTGCACTTGCTTTTTTAAGTATCATGTTAAAAGCAATAATATTTAAATATGAGAGATAATATGTTAAAAAAGTACAAAAGATACAATTTTATTCAATGCAACTCCCCCCCCCCTCCATCGCAAAGTGGCGCAGGGGGGGGCAAAAATTATGAGGGGGGTCAAAGTTTTTTCTTTTTTTGCAATTAGATTTTTTGCGTTAATTTGAGCCCTGCTAATGTTCGAGAAAAAAAAACTAGACAAATCAGAATTTTTGGAGTA